ATGATTGTCCGATCCTTCGCTCAAGCTCTGACCACAAGAGCCAGCGAGTTTGAGCTCGTCTCCAATGGTTAACTTGCCCTTAGGCTTATGAAGAATAAGAGGAGGAAACTAAGGGGGTAACTGTTCTTATCTCTGATTGAAGAGCAAAGGGAAGGTAATTGACGCATGTAAACTGATAGGAAGAGCTTTTTCCATGTACTACCAAATGCAATTTTCAAGTTGTGAGGGATAAAATCGTTTGTGGACCTTTTTACGCGATAACCTTTTGACATGTGGGCAATTTTTACGTGAAAGTAGAAAGGTTATGCGAAATCAATGAGCTGTTAGACTCTTTTTATATAGAATAGATAATCAGGGAATTGGAACAATCAGAGAGGGCAGTCTGCCAAGAGTAGAAGTCTGAGATGGGGAAGGAAGATGGAATTTAATTGGATGGGTTTTTAGGTGATAGACAAGATCTCTCTTGTGCACCTTATTCGTAATTAGATTTTCATCTGGCGAGGGGAGTGCCAACTAGATGGGTTTTATATACTTGACTGGCCAGATGAGGAAATTCCTGTGTGTCGACACGAGTGAGAGTAACTGTTTCTAGCTATCTATTCTAGCATTCTGATAGAAATTACTGATTTATGATATTAGATGGTAAAATTATTTTGCTCTTTAACTTCTGTTGTCTTTCTTGGATGCCTCTTCTTTTCTTTTATTTTTTACATTTCCTGGTTTCTTTTCCTTCTTATTTAAAATCTTTCTAAAATTATACCCATTAAACTGTCAAATCATAGATGGAAGCTGAATATTTGTGTGTTGCTGTCTTGATATAGACTGGGAACATTTTTCAGATACTATCTTAGGGGAGGAATAAGTGGCAATATTTTAATGACTTGCATGAAAGGACGATTAAAAAATAACATGTAAGCTATACTCTCAGAAAGTACCTGAGAATGGAACATCATTGTCAAACTGCTATGATTGTTCTTTTACTTGCTGTATGTTGTTAAGAAATTTTCTTTCCTTTTATTTGCAAATAAATGCAGTAAGATTTAATTCTATTCATTTCTTTTGATTATGCAGATTTTATCATAACAGTTTCATGTAGCAATGTCTATAGATTTTAAAATGACAGTTAACATACGTCAATTTCAGTTCAAATCTAATTTTTTGTGTACTAATTATTTCCTTGTGCCATCTTGTAGGGTCTTAAGCTAACAAAACAAGGAAGATCTATGATCAGAATTGGGTGGAAGCAGACAGATACAGTTGCAGGAGGAACAGAGAGCTATCAAACAGCAAACGTGAATGGAGAGTATGTTGTTGATACAGCAAGCGGTGCATTCCCAACGACAATGGAAGATGAACTTTTGTTCAAGAGATTTGTAAGTGCCTTACTTTTCATCATGTTTTTTAATTTGGTAAAAAAAAATTTTAAATACAATTTATGGGGACAACTAATTTTCTCTGAACCACTACATATTGATACTGTACTACTTCGTGGCTGGTGTAGCAATTTTCCTATTACTAGCCTGACTTCTGGTCGTTCACACACCACTCATATAACCGCCTCACAACCACCTCACATAACAGTGTGTGTGCGACCTTTATTCTAGTTGTTGATCCACATTTCCGCCATGAAGTTACTATACTGTTTCTTGCGGTAGGAGGCATGGAGCCAATTGTCGTTTTTTATATGCATATCCTCAAAAAGCTGAGAAGACTCTAATGAGTTTTAAAGCCGCTTTACAATCTTCTCATAATTACTTATTTCAAACTTCTTGGTTGCAAATAACATCTACAATCTATTTCTTGTGTGGAGAAAGTACATATCAATATTTATGATATGCTGTGTAGACAAGAGGACAGAACTCAGTTGTATTCATCCACGTGACTAGCTTACTAGCACTAGGGGTGCATCTGGTCCGGATACGGCTTGGATATGATACTTGCCATATCCATATCCGCTTACCCATCTCGAATACGGATACGGATGCAGATATATCTCGGTAAGAAAATTTATATCCATATCCGCTAAAATCGAATACGGATACCGATATATTTGCGGATAATAAGAGGATAAAGATGCGAATATAAAACGGATATGAGAAACTAGATAGTATTAGAAAAATATAGTTCATGTGATACAAAAGAGTTCATTAATATGTTCATCTGAAAAGCTAATATTAGACATCTTGATCATCAAAATTAACCTCAAGTCCATAATATTAGACATCTTGATCATCAAAATTAACATCAAATCCATAATCTAAGGATTAAAATTATCGTAACAGTATGACTAATATGTATTCGGATATTTCGGATACGGATCCGGATATTTCACTACAAAACCATATTCGTAACCATATCCTATCGGTTATGGATTTTTGTAACCATATTCGTATCCTAACGGATACGGTTAAGATATTTCCTCGGATACGGATATGCTTTAGTACCGCTAACTAGCACCCTTTCATCAAGCTCTAAGTATTTGTACAAACTGGCGTATAGCCTGCCCAGGAGAAGAACAAGCTATGATACAAGACACGTATAATACAACATTTAAGCAATGTTAAGCTAGTATCTTAGCTTGTTCTCCTCTGGAACTGGCTATAAACCAGTTTGTACAAAGACTAGGAACTTTGTGGGTGGTTGCTAGTAAGCTAGTCATATGGATTAAATACAAATGAGTTCTAACTTCTTGTCTGCACAGCACATCATAAAATTCATATATTTTCAGCATTGTTATAAATTTTATTATTTTATTATACTTTAAGCTAGAAAAGTGGCAGCTACCCAATGTAAGTTTGCCAACTACTTTAGTAACCTATTTCAGAGAATAGTCTGTCTATATTGATTTTTAAGACTGTTAAGTAGTTAATCTCTAGGCGCATATCCTGCAGACTCCAGCTGTTTCCTGGAGGTTCTAATGTCATCTTTTACTAATAGGAAAAGAATTTTCTTGGCATAAGTTCTTATTGAAGTATTCTTGTTGGTGTAGAAAGAAACTGTATCTACTGATCAACCTTTTAGCAAAGGTATGTTGCTAGCAATGTTTGGTCTTCTTGCTACTACAACAGTAACAACACGACAAACATAGCCATGAAAGTATTAAGTCAACTTATTTTGGTTGGCCTCTTTACTCCCATTCTGAACAATATACTTTCTTTCCATGTCCTGAAACATATATGCAATTATACGTTTTGTATACCTAACCTGCACAGTGCCACCTGTTATGTATAATTGGCAGACATTTCTAGATTAATGTGTCATCGCCATCTGCTTCTTCATTTTCTTTTTCTCCCATAATGATATACTTGTTAGCTGACGCCTTGCTTGTTTTACTTTAATCAGATCAAGGAAGAGCCTAGCGAAGGAGAAGGGGCAGAGGAAGATGTTGATTTTATCGCACTTCACGAGGGATATGTTAGTATTTTTCGTCAGTGTTCTATTTAAACATCCTAGTTTTGGTTGTCTTAAATGACATTGAATCGTGGTTACATTGCAGATTACAGTCACACCTCTCGGCGCCCTTTCTCATAGGGAAACAAGTGATTTACCTTATTTCCGAAGTTGGCTGACACACATGGCTGATTTTTCATCATCTTCTTCCTTGTAAAAAGTGAGTGTAATTTGCTGCAAAAGATACTCTTTAGTGTTTTTGTTTATGTCTCTTTCTAGTTGTTTGGGGTGAAATTCTTTAAGGTTAATCTTAACAAAATGCTTCTTGTTTGTTCATGCTTTATTGTAAAAGTCAAATACAGTAGTCGAGGAACTGTATATGTCATACCACTAATCAAAGTGCAAGAGACTTTATCTTATATAAACTTGACTAGTTCTACTGACCTATTCTGGTGGACTTTTACTTGGTCCAGAGGGTGTTGTATACAGACTTTAATAAAACCTGTCAATAGAAAGCATTCCTTCCTTTTGGTATCCTTATGGATTATTACCTTTTGTTTTCTGTTTAGTCTAACCCAAAATATATTTCATGTATATCATATTTGCCACTTATTATTTTTTTATCTTTTAAAGTTAAATATATATCTTATCATTCTTTTTTTCCACGAATTCGTACCGGAAATCAGAATCATATATATCTTATCGTTCTTGTTAATTTGATACAATATAGTGGCAGTAACATACACCTTGGAGCACATTCTGGCACTACAAAGCTTATATTTAGTTTAGCAGATACGCTCTCATGGTTTGAGTTTGAGAAGTAACATCTCTCCTTGATTAGT